AGCCAAAAAAGGCTGAATTACAGTTAAAAGAGCTGAAAGTATCAAGACTGTGCCAAATGATCAGTTATGAGTTCTTACGTTTTAGAAATGCATTCTGAAGAGGTTATACATTGACATATCTGGGATTATTAAGTAATATAACACACTAATGTACATGGAGATAAAGAATACCATGAAATGATATATACCATGATGAAGATAGGGAGAGGGTTCATGGGATTTCATAACAGTCTTTTCCATTTATGGATACATTTGAAAATAGCCATTACAAATGGTAGACTATGTGCTTATAATTTGATATATTGAGAAACATAAATTGAAGTGGCCACGAGAAAACTTGGTTTCAGGGATGCAAGCATGTATGGAAATATCAAAATGTACATTTTAAATATGTATGGTTTAATTGTATATATCACGTGCGTGCGTGTGTGTGTATGTGTATGTGTGTGTGTGTGTGTGTACATTTTGGCCACACCACGCAGCTTGTGGGATCTTAGTTCCCTGACTAGGGATTGAACCTGGGCCTACGGCAGTGAAAGCACCAAGTCCTAACGATTGGACCACCAGGGAATTCCCAAAGTTAACTGTATTTAAATCAAACTGCTTTTAAAAAGCAAATATTGGGCTTCCCTGGTGGCACAGTGGTTGAGAGTCCACCTGCCGATGCAGGGGACACAGGTTCATGTCCCAGTCTGGGAGGATCCTACATGCTGCGGAGCAGCTGGGCCTGTGAGCCATGGCCACTGAGCCTGTGTGTCTGGAGACTGTGCTCCACAACGAAGAGGCCACAACAGTGAGAGACCTGCATACCGCAAAAACAAAAACAAAAAAAACAAATATTTAAAACTTGCCACTTCCTAATCATTTGACTGTTTTGTTATTGTCTGTTTTTGAGGTTATTTGTGGTTACTGTATCAGTATGTTGGAAATAGAATTAGTAGTGTGCTACTGGGGCTTCCCTGGTGGCACAGTGGTTAAGAATCCACCTGCCAACATAGGGGACACGGGTTCGAGCCCTCGTCCGGGAAGATCCCACATGCCACAGAACAACTAAGCCCATGCGACACAACTACTGAGCCTGCACTCTAGAGCCCATGAGCCACAACTATTGAGCTCCCATGCCACAACTACTGAAGCCCATGTGCCTAGAGCCCATGCTCTGCAACAAGAAGTCACCTCAATGAGAAGCCCACACACCGCAACAAAGAATAGTCCCCACTCACTGCAACTACAGAAAGCCTGTGCACAGCAATGAAGACCCAAAATGGCCAAAAATAATAAAATTTAAAATTTTTTTAAAATTAAAAAGAATAGTGTGCTACTGCAATATCTTACCAACGTCATGTTCAGTGACACCATTTTGGCAGTTTGAAATTGACTGTGACAAGGAAAAAAAAAAAAAAGAAAAGAAATTGACCATAACAGGGGTATTTACACCAGGGAAATCAGCACAAAGACTACAAACCTAGGTGTGATTTAATGTATTATTGAATACTGAGTCTTAAGAATGTAGTGGAGAATATGTTAATAGTGCAGATTAAACAAAAAAATATATGGTGCCTGTGGGCTTTCAGTTGTGCAAAGGGCAAAAAACTGAGGAAATATAATTTCCTTCCAGTATTCAAAAATGATTGTCCCATAAGGCAAAGAGGTCACATCACTGAAGAATGAGTGAAATTCCAACATAAGTCTTACTTGTTAAAATAATAAATAAATTACATAAAAAGAAAGTACTCAAAAGTTATAAATAGTCTTTTTACCAAAGAAGATAAACAGAGGGCAAACAAATGCATGAAAAAATGCTCAGCATCATGAATTCTTAGGAAAATGGAATTAAAACCAAAGAGAGTTAAAACTACACACTTATTTCAAGGGCTAAAATTTTAAAACATTGACCATATCAAGTGTTGGCTACCTTGTAGAGGAACTGCAATTCTCATACACTGTTGATGGGAAGATAAAAGGGAACAACGACTTTAGATCACTGTTTGGCATATCTTAAAATGTTAAACATCTACCTACACTGCAACAGTCTGAGTTATTAACACATGGGAAATAAAACATATATCCATATAAATAACTGAATGCAAATATTTTAAGCAGCTTTATTTATAATACCCCAAACCTGGAAATAATCCAATGTCCATAAACAGATAAATGGATAAACAAAGACGTTATCCATAGAACAGAAGACTACTCAGCAATAAAAAGAATTAACTACTAATATAGGCATCATTGTTGAATTTAAAAATAATTGTGCAGCATGAAGTAAATCAGTTTTAAAAAAGAGTATACATCTTATGATACCTATTTAAAATTATAGAAAATACAAACTAACCTATTGTAAAGGAAAGTGAATCAATGAATCAATGATTGTCTGTAGGGCTGAGGAGAGTAGGGAATGAGATTCCAAAAGGGCATGAGGTAAATATGTGATAGATAAATTTACTTTCATGATTGTGATGGTTTCACAGCTTTACATGTATGTCAAAGCTTATCAAATTGTACCGATTAGGTAAGTGCACTTTGTTGCACATCAACTATACAAACCCATGTTGTTCAAGGGTTACCTTAACCTTTGCTAAACCTTAGGAAAGCCTTAAAATGTGGTTCCAAATAAAAGCGTAGATATCCCACTTCTCTTGGAAAATTAGGTTGGCAACCCTATATGGTCTCTGCCATCTCTCTCCTTATGGCCTGGGAAGTGCAGCCTTGCCTCAGTGGCAGCCAATACTGGCAAGCAATGAAGGCTGCTGCCACTTGAATCAACAGAACTGCTCACTGGGTCACAAAAGACACATCCTTGGGCTACAGGACTGCCCTTTTCTCTATCCTTGTTTTCCCACCAGTAGAGCAATGCCTTTGAGGGAACAGCCCAGAAAGGCTATAGGAATCCACAAACCTCAGCTACAGGAAATACAGTTATGGAGATCCTGAGAATTTCTGTACACATTGATCACACAGGAATAGTCACTGGAGCATTTGTGGATGAATTTTTAGAAGAGGTACATTCCATCTAATTTACTGCAGTCTCCTCAACTCCCTATTAATCCAGTGTTTCTGCACCAACAAAACCAACCCCCCCCCAAAAAAAACCAAGTCTCCCTGGTAAATTTATGATTAACATCTCTACACAAAACTGTATTCCTTTTCTTGTCCTGACCCTGTTCCCCTCAGGATTGAGGGGTATCAAATAAAAGCAGGACCATGCGGGCCCTCCTGGGTACAAAAGCCCCTCCATGTATCCCTTGTTTGTTAGTAGAAAGAGGTTTTAGTCTCCAAGGTCTTCCCTGAGTTCCAAAGAGCAGACTCAAGCAGTTCCTAATTAGGGAAGTGAGGGAATACAGAAACAAAGGAAAAGCAGTCCAGGAAGAAAAGTAATGACAGCTTAAACAATAGTTCAGCAATAAATCAGAGTCCTTGCTCCTCCTCAAGTGATACATATAACAACAATCTGACACATATCTTTGTGCTGCTCAGCAGAAACCAAGACCCCACCCAGGTGGAAGATGGCGACTACATGCTGTCCACAAGCACATAGACCCCAGATAAGATAACTAAAACATCACCCTGTTACCTCAATACTAAGAAATCAGAAGAAAGTCCACGAGCTGCAACACTCAAACCAAATGTTGCCTTTAAAAACCCTTCCTTGTGGGCTTCCTGGTGGCGCAGTGGTTGAGAGTCCGCCTGCCGATGCAGGGGACGTGGGTTCGTGCCCCGGTCTGGGAAGATCCCACGTGCCGTGGAGCGGCTGGGCCCCTGAGCCATGGCCACTGAGCCTTCACATCCGGAGCCTGTGCTCTGCAACGGGAGAGGCCACAACAGTGAGAGGCCTGCATACCGCAAAAAAAAAAAAAAAAAAAAAAAAAAAACCCTTCCTTGAAAACCACTGGGGAGTTCAGGTCTTTTGAACATTAGCTGCCCATTCTTCTTGCTTGATGCCCTACAGTAAATGCTGTACTTCACTTCATCATAACCTTGCGTCAGTAGATTGGCTGTGCTGCACATGGGCAAGTGGACCTGAGTTTGGTTCAGTAACACAAATTATGGTTCTACCTGGCCCTTGTAGTCTAACAATAAATGACACTGAAAATGTCATTGAAAATTTGTATATCGTGGCACATGGCTCCTTTATAGGACCTGGGGACGAGGTCCCCTCAATGGTGCTGGGAATTATGTGAACAAAGGAATAAAATTCATGTTGGTCACAGAAGCACTGGGGGTTCTCACAACAAAGGCTTCCTCTTCAGGGTGGCTTCTGCCCTCTCCAAAAATCGTGGCACCAGTCCACCAATTAGGACCACAGAGACCTGCAGTCTTCCTTTCAAGGCCTTGGGAAGCAATGAAAATTAATCTGTTCACCTCTACATGCTAACAGATCACAATTCTGCTTCCAAACCCCCATGGAAGAGAGAAAAGAACCGCCAAAATTAAAGATGCAAGAGGAGGCCTTTACAAAAGATCACAAACCAGAGCAACATGCAGCAAGCAGTTTCCACATTGGTAAATTAGAACCTGGAAAAATTCATCACAAGTATGATGTGAGAACAATGATGTCCCTGAAAAAAGTAGTCCTTCTTAGCAAGCTGAGGATAGGTCCTTTGGACCCAACCTGAGTAAGGTCCATTCCCTAACATCAGAGAGAAAGGAATGAGGATCCTGCTAAGGGTTTGGGCTATTCATAATTTCCTCACGCAGATGGGAGAACACAGAGTTCTGCTTTCCTGAGCCTGTTGGAGTGGTGCCTTATGTACAGGGGTGAAATGGCTTCAGCCACAGTAAGTGGCAGTGACATAAATCTAACAGCAGCTCTGGGCAGGTTACAAGGTATAATGCATCTCCTTAAAGCCTTAGATGTAATTGAAACTTATGGGCAATCTTGCATGGTGGGTGTTTGAATAAATGAGGTTTAAATTCAGATAAATGGCTCTCACACAGTCTCCTCCAGTATTGCTATACTGAGTGAGGAAATAAAACATTCCCTGCACATTTAAGGCTTTTCTCCAGCATGAACTCTCCAGTGTCTGAGGAGGTTAGGTTTGCGGCTAAAGGATTTCGCACATTCACTACATTCATAGGGTCTTTCTCCCGTGTGAACTCTCTGGTGTTGAATGAGGTCAGATTTGTGGGTAAAGAGTTTCCCACATTCACTGCACTCATAAGGCCTCTCACCAGTGTGCCTTCTCTGGTGTTGAATGAGGCTAGAACTTTGGCTAAATGATTTCCCACACTCATTACACTCATATGGTTTTTCCCCAGTGTGAACTCTCTGATGTTGAATGAGGCTAGCACTTTGGCTAAAGGATTTCCCACATTCCCCACATTCATAAGGCTTTTCTCCAGAATGAATTCTCCGGTGCTGAATAAGCCCAGAGCGTTGTCTAAAGGATTTCCCACATTCACTGCACTCATAAGGTCTTGTGCCAGTATGAATTCTCTGGTGTTGAATGAGGTCAGATTTGCGGGTAAAAGATTTTCCACATTCAGTGCACTCGTAAGGTCTTTCTCCAGTGTGAACTCTCTGATGTTGAATGAGGATAAATTTGCGACTAAAGGATTTTCCACAAACACTGCACTCATATGGTCTTTCTCCAGTATGAACACTCCGGTGTCGAATGAGGTTAGAGAACTGTCTAAAGGACTTCCCACATTCACTGCACACATAAGGCCTTTCTCCACTGTGAATTCTCTGGTGTTGAACGAGTTCAGATTTGCAGCTAAAAGATTTCCCACATTCGCTACACTCATAAGGCATTTCTCCAGTGTGAACTCTACCATGTCGAATGAGATTAAAAATTTGTCTAAAGGCTTTCCCACATTCACTGCACTCATAAGGCCTTTCTCCAGTGTGAACTCTCTGGTGTCGGAAAAGGCTAGAACTTTGTCTAAAGGACTTCCCACATTCACTGCACTCATAAGGTCTTTCTTTAGTGTGAACTCTCTGGTGTTCAATGAGGTTGGATTTGTAGCTAAAGAATTTCCCACACTCACCACACTCAAAATGCATTCCTCCAGTGTGTTGTCTCTGGTGGTGAATGAGTTTGGATTTGTGACTGAAGACTTTTCCACATTCACTGCATTCATAAGTCCTTTCTCCAGTGTGAATTTTCTGGTGTTTTCTAAGACTAAAGTTGTGGGTAAATAATTTTTCACGTTCTCTGCATCCATAAGGCTTTGTACCACTGTGAATTCTCTGGTGTTTAACAAGGCCAGAGATATGGCTAAAGAATTTCCCACATTCACCACACTCATATGGTCTTTGTCCAGTGTGAATTTGCTGGTGCTGAACAAGTCTGTAGTTGCAGTTGAAGGCTTTCCTACATTTGTTACACTCATAAAGCCCTTCTTTAGAGTGGACACTTTTATCTTGAACAAGTGTGTGGCTGTGGCTGGCAACTTTTTCACATTCACCCCACTTGTAATGACTTTTTTCACTGTGAAAGGCCTGTCCACTCTTGCTGCCACTCTGTAGTTCCTCACTGTTGGGTGTGGCCTGGTGCTGGAGAAGGCCCAAGGTGGCTGGGAAGTCCTCCCCAACCTCCCCACAGGTGAAAGGCTTCCCTGGCACAAAGAAGTTGCAGCTCCTCACAAGCGAGGCCCTGTCCACATCTCTCTTCCAGGGCTTCTCTCCACTGTCATGCTTCTGCTGCTGGCGAAGGTTTGCAATGAAACAGAAGCATCTCACATATGTGCCACCCAAGTCTGGTTTCTGCAAAGGGTATACTCTTTGGTGCTCAGCTTGCTGCAAAATATCTTTTAAGATGGGGACACACATCTCACAGGGGTGGGTCTTCTGGGTGGATGGACCTGCCTTAGAAGCCCTAACCTGTGACTCTCCTTCTACAGATATACTCTGCTCAGAAGGGGCCTCCTCATCTTCTGTTCCATGGCAACAACCTGAAAGCAGAGAAACGCTGAGGAAATGCATGTTTACTTTGGTGGGAAAGTGAAGTCCCATTACAAAGGTGTGTCAGACACAACAAAGAATGAGCCATGGGTTTGTTCTAAAAACAAGGAAGCTGGGGGCAAGCTGAGGAAGTGGCTGCTTGGCAGCAGTGGGCAGGCCTCTGAAGATCACAAATAGGGGAGACCTCACCAGACAAAGGACACAAGGATGGGTTGCACCCACAGAGCCGAGGCAAGGCTTCCAACTCATTCCTCTCCCAAAAACCTTCAGATGTGGGGCAGGCTGGTTGTGTCCTGCCCCAGTAAAATCCAAATGGAATCAAGTAGCTGGCATTCAAGGAATATTTAAGGATATGTGCACACCTCATGATACATGTGCAGGTCAGTGGGGGAGAACACTACAGAGAGAGAAGTACAGAGGAACAGGTGACCCATGGAAGCCACAAAGGTGAAGGCAGTCAGGAACTGGAAGTCACAGAAGAACTAACAAGTCAGCAAAGTGTCAAGTATGGGGAAATGGTAGAAATGAGGTGCAGTCAGTGACACTACTGGTCACTGGGCAGGCTCCTGGTTTGATATGAAAACAGCCATGATGTCATATCTTCCCCCAGCTGTCACTCACCAGGCCCAGGCAGGCTCTCCTCTGAGACCATCTTACCATGTCTACTCTGTGAAACAACCAGGGTTCTCTCTGCACCCTCCACTGTACAACTACTCAGAACCTGAATAACGCAAGTCTTATGAAAGACAGCATAGGGGAGTGGCCAGCACTGGCCTAGAGCAACTTGCCATATGACAGTATTCAGTAAATAAAACATTACATATAATTGAATCACTTTGCTGTACACCAGAAACTAACACAACATTGTAAATCAACTATAGTTCATTTTTTTTTAAAGTCTCTAATAAAATGAGATATTCCTGGAGAAGAAAAAGAAAACATTACAAAAAACAACTAAAGGAGAGTCTTACAAAAACAGCCCATGGATCATGTAAGTAATGACCATGATCTGGCACAGGCAGTCACAAAGAACTTTAGCTAGAAGAAGGGGGAAGAACTGGAGGCCATGGATCTGGACATAGTCACTCCACCAGGGAGAGGACAAGCAAGTTGGGATTCATTAAGCCAACTACAAGATTCCTGACTCCCAGACCCATCTCTGCACTTTTGGAGGCAACAGGTGTTAGGGATGCTTGGGGAGTCCACTACTCAGGGCATGACACACAGCTCAGTGCTGGCATCCACAGCACATCTGACAAGAAAGTAGAGGAAATTAGCAGAGCCCATGATCCAGCTGTGGAAAAGACAATGCTAACTCCAGGGAAAAAAGGAAAAACAGGACATCATCTCAGAACACTGGAAAGAGTGTGAAGGTCTTACCCAGGGATGCTACAAGTGCAAAGTTTTCCAGCATCACATTGTAGTACAGGAGTCTCTGAGCCTCATCAAGGAGCCCCCACTCCTCCTGGGAGAAGTCAATGGCCACATCCTCAAATTTCATACCCTGTCATAATGGAGACAGTTCATTCCACCATCAGCTTCTCTCCTATGATTCCAAGATCATCATGCCATGTTCCCCACTCCCCCCACCCCCAGCCCAAATCTATCCTCTGCTCACTCTACTCCCCACCTCAGAGGAGATACCAGACCTTGGTGCCATTAGAATCACTCTCTCATATTCCCACTGATTCAGTGTCTTCCCACATCAATAGGCAGATGAGCAGATAGGTGACATCTGACCTCTGGGTCTTGCACGTAGGCCACATTTCCTCTTGTCAATAAGGTGGGTGTCACAAACATAGGTTAGGGAGAGACACTGGCCACAGGGAAGGTGTGAGTGATCTGACACTGGTCTTTCCTTCACCCTTATGACCCCAACAACAGGGTTCTAGGGCCATTAGTTCACACTACCTCTTCACATGCACATCTTTCTTTGAACCACACTTCGCTCTCACAGCTGCATTCCTGCAGGGACAACTTCAAAGGTCACACAGCCTTGACATGATGGGGATAGTTCATTTCATGACCAGCTTTCCCCTTAGGATCCTAATTTCACCACCTCCCCAATCTATCAGTTGCTTACCCCTCTCCCTTCCCCACCTCATGAACATTTCCAAGCTCAGGTGGCACTGATACCCATTGTCTCATCATGGTCCTTTTGATCACTGTATCAGCCCTCAATAACAAGCAGGTGGGTAGACAGATGTCATCTAAGCTCTGGACCTAGCACATAAAGCCACAACACCCCACTCTTCTCAGGCAATTCCCCTGGGGTTCCCCAGATCATTTCTCCCAGACACCACCAATCTTGGGCTCACCCTTGACACTTATGCCAACACCAGGGTCCTGGAACCATGAGTTCACGCTCCCTCTCCATGTGTACATCACTCTTTCCACAACAACTGTCTCACAACTTCACTCCCACAGCCACAGTCTCCCTCCTGCTCTACACCAAAATCATCTCCTCAGCCTCTCTATTCATTACTCAGTATATGTGATCCACAGAATGCTTGGCAAATTCAAACACGATCAAGTACGACCCTAGACTGTGACAGTTCCCACTGACAAAGGCAGCCTTGGATCCTGCTATGAAGGCCTCCTTCCTTGACTGTCCCTTGCTTCAACCTCACCCACTAAGAACCACATCAGATCTCAGATACCCATGGCCCTACTCCACTTGTGCTGCACTTGATGAACCCTCACCAGTCATAGCTTTCCTTTCTCCACCTAACCCTCATTCAAGGCCCAGCACCTGGCCCTCTACATCATCTGTGAGTTTCCCAGATGACCGCTTGTGTCCCCAAGCTAATCTGCCAGCCTGACTAGAACACCCCAGGTCCCACCAAGGGTTACAACAAAACCCTAGTGAGTTGGTAGAGCAGTGAATAAACACCAGCTTGTCTGAATTACTCCTGATGATGCCTCTGTATCCATCTCATGTCCACTGATCCTTAAGAAGCCTTGGTTGCATGCCAAACCATTTACACTTATAACCCTCTCTGTGACTAACTTCTTCACCCATGTTGTGACACCTACCACCCACAACCAGGGGTCCAAGCAGGAAGCCCAGTCCACAGACCCATTCTCTTCTTCCTAGGCTATTATTACCATTATCCTCCTGACCAGGACTCCCCATACTAAAATGATCTACAGCTCCTCCCTGGTCCACACTGTCTACTACCTTTTGGATAAGTCTCCATCCCAAACTCCTCCTCAGAGGAGGATGCCCGCAAACTGCACTCTGAAACACCTCATACCCTTAAGAGGTCAAGAATAAAACTTCTGATATCCCCAGTGAAAATTACTCTTACTATGGACTTTCCCATATCAGTTGGTAGAGCTTCCATCCTTCCACATGCAAAATCCATACTTTCACTTCATCCCTGACTCCTTCTTTCAACCTCAAAATTAGAAAATCCAGCTTGCCATACCTAAAACACCAATCCAGAATCCAGCCACATCTCCCACCTCCATGGCCACCACCCTGGTCCAGCTACCAGCACACTCACACAGACTATAGGAGTATCCTTCTCCCTGGTCTTCCTATCACCTCCCTTATGCCAATACTGTTCTCCATGCTGCAGCCACAGGGAGCCTGTTGAGACCTGGGTCAGATCACCTGTCTCCACTGCTCCAAATTTTTCATTGCTCCTATCACCTCCAGAAGAGACACCCAATTTCTCAAAAAGCTGTTCCAGGGAATTCCCTGGTGGTGCAGTGGTTAAGAATCCGCCTGCTAATGCAGGGGACACAGGTTCAATCCCTGGTCTGGGAAGATCCCACATGCCATGGAGCAACTAAGCCTGTGTGCCACAACTACTGAGCCCACAGAGCACAGCTCACCTAGAGCCCATGCTCCATAACAAGAGAAGCAACTGCAATGAGAAGCTCACGCACCACAAGTAAGAGTAGCCCCCGCTCACTGCAACTAGAGAAAGTCCACGCGCAGCAATGAAGACCCAACGCAGCCAAAAAAAAAAAAGCTGTTCCAGACCTGCCTCCTGCTCCACTGCTCTCAGCTACCATGAGAAAGAAAAGATACCTGCACGTCCCTGAACCCTCCCTCACCTCCCCTCCAGGCCTTTGCACATTCTGGTACCTATGCCAGATCTGGTACTTTCCTCATCTGATTCCACTCGTTGTCAAAAATAGGAACCATCTTACATAACTCTAGGCCTGGTGTTTGTTCAAGGTCCCCAGGCCCAAGGCCTGGAAGAGTGGCAGAACAGTACCAGGACGCTATTACCCCAGAGACCACAAGGGTGGGGTGAAGACTAACGAGACCCTGAAATAAACTCCACAAACCAGTATCACTAAGCGATTCCGTAGTTACAGGAATCTGTGGAAAAAGAGAGGTTGTTTGAGAGTTTGACCACCACGGCCAGCATCCTTGGGCTCAGACCGCTAAGTACCCTTGGCCAGCCCAGGAGCCAGGTGAGCTCGAGATGTCTGAATTACCTCTGGGCCTCAGTCCTGAGAGCAGACTCTTGCCAGCTGTGTAATCTTTTACAGGATTCGACATTTCCCGTATCTATTATCCCTCTTCTCGTCTCTTCTTCCTCTGAGCAGCCTTAGGAAAACTTTTAGAATCCTATCTCAGTGTCCCTCTTTTGCTCACACCCTTCAGAATGAAAATAAATCTCCTCAGGCACAACTTCGCCTCACAGTCTGTGTCCTGCAGACATAAGACGGACTCCAGGTTTCCTGAATCCTCCCGCCTCAGTCCGACCTCCCAGCCTTTGCACTTGCGGGTCCCTCCGCCTGCCACCCTCTCCCACGCGCCATCACACTGTCAGAAAAAGACCTACCCACAACCGGCTCACCGTCCCGGACACCGCGCCCCGAGCTGCAGGCACGTGAGCAGGCGCCCCGCACTTGGGTCTTTAGTGTCTGGGGGAGGTGAGGGCGGTGAGAGCCCGGAAGACAAACGTTTACCTGAGGCGGGTCCCTCAGCGCCGCCGCCGCCATCGGAGTCTGTGGACGAAGCGGAGTCTGTGAGGCGTGGAGGTCCCGATCTCAGCCTGTTACGGGTCACCCCGAGGTGCGCCACCGCCAAGCCATGGATCTGCCTCTGTGGAGGCCTCTGACGCCTTCTCTTTTAAGACCCCTGGCTCCGAGCCTCTGAGTGGGCGACCCGACCTGAGAAAGGCCAAAATGACCGCCACAAGGAAGACGCCAGAAATCCCGCCCCGAAGCGAAGCCCACGCACGGAAGTACCTCTGCCCTGGGCTTTCATTGGCTCAACTCCGCCACCATTGGGCGCATTGCCCTCTGGGTAGTGTAGTTCCCACAGCTGCGCAGGCGGACATTCCCGGAGTCCACCTTGGCCAAGAAACGTTCTGCACAGCACGGAGAAATATAACCATTATTTTGTAATAACTTTAAATGAAGTACACGCTATAAAAATATTGAATCAGAGACCCCTGGCGGTCTAGTAGTTAAGACTCCGTGCTTCCACTGCAGGGTAAGATCCCACATTCCGCTTGACGGGGCCAAAAAAAAAAAAAAAAAATTAAATCACTATGTTGTATACGTGAAACCAATATAACATTGTAAATCAGCCATACTTAAATTAAAAAAAGAAAGGTTCTGGGGCACTGAGAGTAGCGCTGGGAAATGACTAACCTTGGGGGGAAAGGAATGTGATTATCCCTTTTTAAAGGGGCGGTTCGCGGGTCTCCGGGGAGCGTTGTCTGCCACGGATCATTTGTTTAGAAACATTATTCCGGTCTCTGTAAGCTCAAAATGGCCCCCTGTGGCTAAAAAGATTATTCCAATTATTTCCAAAGGCTACAAATGCGAGCGGACATATTCTCATTCAGACTCAAAATGCATCCGCTCTTAGCTGGAATGTAATAAACGTTTTATTGCTATTCAAATACATACAGTTAGAAGTGTTGGTTGTTTTTTTAACTCTGTATGTTTAGTTAGGGCCATGACTTGGAAGATGAGTAACGATGTTTAGGCCTCCCTGAAATAGGAGGACAAGAAATTTTCTCTGCCTCTGTTTCCCAGAGAACATCTGTCATGCCTGTATCCTCACTGATTGTGTCTAAACCATAAAGCAGAACTGTCTAGCCACTTAATATTTCTTACTCAATGACCAAAGATATATTCAGTTCCCTTAGGAATCTGACATCTATCTCAAATGGAGAGCAACTTATGAAATTGTTTTGGTATAGTGTAGTGCCTGCTCAATGAGTGATAGTGTTCTCAGGCAGAGGACATGTGCAAAAGGGGCATCTGAACCCCATCATCTCATCTCCTTGCTGGGAGGGGGTTATCATTTCTCCAGTGATTGTTGGGGCTGTTGTGCATGAGGAATAGATGATATCGGGAAAAAAAAAGTTGTGAAATGCGAATTATAAGGAACTATTTATAATGATTATGTAGTTAGTCAAAGATAGTGGCAGAGATAACTCTGGGGAAGTATCTGAGAAGGGTGAAAAAAGTTAAGACCTCAATAATTTTTATTAGGAGATACTAAAGTCTGAGAAGAGATGAGTTAAGCTGAGCTCAATATTTTTCCCTGATTTAAACATTTATTTTTATTTTTATTGGCATATAGTTGATTTATAATATTATGTTAGTTTCAGGTGTACAACATAGTGATTCAAAATTTTTATAGATTATACTTCATTTAAAGTTATTACAAAATAATGGCTGTAATTCCCTGTGATGTACAATATATCCTTGTTGTTTATTTATTTTCTACATAGCAGTTTGTACCTTTAAGTCCCCTACCCCTATCTTGCCCTTCCCCTCTTCCCTCTCCCCACTGGAAACCACTACTTTGTTCTCTGTATCTGTGAGTCTGTTTCTGTTTTGTTATATTCACTAGTTTTCTGTATTTTTTGGATTCCACATGTGATATTTGTCTCTCTTTTTCACTGAGCATAATACCCTCCAGGTCCATCCATGTTGCTGTAAATGGCAGAATATCATTTTTTATGGCAGAGTGGTATTCCACTGCATGTGGGCATGCGTGCATGTGTGTGTGTGTGTACCACATCTTTTTTATCCATTCATCTGTTGATGGGCACTTAGGTGGCTTCCATATCTTGGCTATTGTAAATAATGCTGCTATGAACATTGGGTGCATGTACCTTTTCAAATTATTATTCTTGTTTTCTTTGGATATATACCCAGGAATGGAATTGCTGGATCACATGGCAGTTCTATTTTCAGTTTTTTGAGAAACCTCCATTCTGTTTTCCACAGTAGACATTAACTGCTCTGGGACATCCAAGGAATGGGGAAACGATCACGGAAATAAATCCAACAATAACAGCAGCAGCAGCTGAGTCTCCATGAACCTCAATGTGCACCTGCCCCGGGCTGAAGGCTTCAAGTGCCATGATAAAGGGACTGTCCCCAGTTCGGCAGCTAGACTCCCAGGTTTGAATCCAGCCTCTTGAATCTGATACTTTCTGTGGTGTGACCCTGGGGGACCCACTTCATCTTTGTGATCCTGGATTTCCCCAGCAATACAGTAATAGCTCCCAATACCCAGAGTGCTGTGAAAATTAAAAAGAAATTCTCAAAATGCAAATCCTGGAATTCTGGTACCAGTACAGGCTGTATTTTGTTGCTTTGACTGACCGTCACAGAGGCTACGGTGAACATCTTCATCACCTCCCTGTCACAGTCAGTGAAGTAAATCTTGGGGACCTCTAGAGTGGCCCACAGATTCCCTGGGATTCCACAATGAGACCTCAGTAACCTGAAGACACGTCTTCCAGTGGACCAGAGGGTTCTAGGAAGCCCCATTTGTTTCTCACAAGCACCTGGGGACAGAAGGGCCCAGAGGTATATGGCTTGGGGATATCACCTGCAGGTGTGGCTGGTGGTGTAGCCACTGCACACAGAACGGGCACCTCAGCTCCTCCAAAGGCCTGGGCACAGGGCTGCTCTTTATCCCCATTTTACACAGGAGACAACCCAGATAGTGGATTGTTTTGCCTGTTGTCCCAGTGATGGCTGGTGACGAGATTTAAACCCACATTGTATGGGCCACGTTTGGGGAGTCTGATCACTGACCTATTCTTTGGCTTCCAGAAGGGCTTCAGAATGTCTGTCCTAATACCACCTGGTCCACCTTTTTTTTTTTTTTTTTTTGTCTGCATTGAGTCTTTGTTGCTGCGCACAGGCTTTCTCTAGTTGCAGCAGGCAGGGGCTACTCTTCGTTGTGGGTGCAGGCTTCTCATTGTAGTGGCTTCTCTTGTTGCAGAGCACGGGCTCTAGAGTGCAGGCTCAGTAGTTGTGGCATGCGGGCTTAGTTGCTCTGGGGCATATGAGATCTTCCCGGACCAGGGCTTGAACCTATGTCCCCTGCATTGGCAGGCGGATTCTTAACCACTGTGCCACCAGGGAAGTCCCACACCTGGTCCACCTTAAAGTCCTGCTCCAACCCACCAATCCCCAAGATAGACCAGGAAAATGGGTGAAAACTACAAAGCAGGGCTTTATTATATTATTAAATGTCTAACTTAGGAAAGTGATGAAGTGTGTTAATAATGCAGATAAATCTATAATGCAAATTAATTGTGTATGATAAATATGAACATTACATTGTGTATAGCATACAAATTTGCAAAAATTAATTTATTTGGCTGCGTCGGGTCTTAGTTGTGGCATGTGGGATTTTAGTTACGGCATGCAGGATCTTTCATTGCAGTGCGTGGGCTTCTCTCTAGTTGTGGTGCGCAAGCTCTAGAGCACGCAGGCTTAATTGCCCCAGTGCATGTGGGATCTTAGTTCCCCAACCAGGGATCGAACCCATGTCCCCTGCATTGGAAGGCAGATTCTTAACCACTGGACCACCAGGAAAGTCCCCAAATTTGCAAAAATTAAGAAATATTTTTCCGGAATTGAAAACAATTATTCCATAAAGCAAAAGAATCACTTATGTTATTCAAGGAGTAAAATGGGTAAAATTCCAATATATCTTTGTTATTTCACTGTCCTATTTGTGAAAAGGGAATAGCCCTAACTCATAAAGGAAAACAGCCTAAATGATATGAGCACACACTTTACCAAAGACATACAGATAGCATATACACATCCGAAAAAATGCTCATCATGAATCCTTAAGGAAATCCAATTAAACCAACACTGAGATAGCATGACAAACTTATTAAAAGGGCTAAAATTGGGGACTTCCCTGGTGGCAGAGTGGATAAGACTCTGCATTCCCAATGCAGGGGGCCCGGGTTCGATCCCTAGTCAGGGAACTAGATCCCACATGCATGCCACAACTAAGAGTTCACATGTCACAACTAAGGCGCCTACCTGGCACAACTAAGACCTGGCACAACCAAATAAATAAATAAATATTTTTTAAAAAGGAGGGCTGGGCTTCCCTGGTGGCGCAGTGGTTGAGAGTCTGCCTGCCGATACAGGGGACGTGGGTTCATGTCCTGGTCCGGGAGGATCCCACATGCCGCGGAGCGGCTGGGCCCGTGAATCATGGCTGCTGAGCCTGCGCATCCGGAGCCTGTGCTCCACAACGGGAGAGACCAGAACAGTGAGAGGCCTGCGTACCGCAAAAAAAATAATAATAATAAATAAATAAATAAATAAAAATAAAATTTAAAAGGAGGGCTAAAATTAAAATAAATAAACAAATCAGGATTCACTAGGATGTGAGGAAATGGAACCCTCATACACTGCTGGTAGGAATGCAAAAAGATAGTCATTTTAGATCAAAATTTGTTAGTTTCTTCAAAAGTTAAATATTCACCTACCCTATGACTCAGACACTGCACTCAAAGTTATTGAAAAAAGATAAAATATATTCATTTTAAGAAATGTACACAAATGTTTGTATCACGTTTATTTTTAAATTGTCAAAAATCTGGAAATAACCCAAATGTCCATAAATAGATGAATGAATAAACAAATAGGGATTTATCCAAATATAAGATTACTCAGCAAAAGAAAAATGTTAAGTATTCACATAATGTCATTGATGAATCTCAAAGTAGTTATACAACATAAAGTAAACCTGGAAAAGGGGTAAATATTTAATGATTCCCACCATATAAATTCTACAAAATGCAAAGGTATCAATTTTAAGTGAAAGTAAATTGATGATTATTTGGAGAGAGGGAAGGGCAGGGCGAGATTATAAAAGGACATGAGGTAAATATATAGCAATGGATATGGCCATTATAACTATGATGGTAGTTTCACAGGTTCATACCTACAGCAAAACTTATCAAATATTATACTTTAAATTATGTATATAAGAAAATGTATAAAGTTTAATTCAATGTAAATTATACCTTTAAATAAAGCTATAAAAAATGGCTTTACATTTCACAAATCTGTGCATCCCTTTTAAGAAAATAAATTTGGGAATGCTATAGTGACCACCATGTCTCTCC